ATCTCACCTTAAATAGAAAAAGACAATCAGCAGATGACAATACTGAGGTGATTCAGATATTGGAACTATCCGACAAGGATTTGAAAGAATCATAAAACTACTTCAAAGAAGCAATTATAAATACACTTGAAACCAAAACGGGAAAAAAAATCTTAGAAGATAAAAAGAAGAACAAAAATGGAAATATTAAAATGAAGAATACAAAACTACTAAAAAAAAATCAATGAAGTTGAAGATAGAAAAAAATAGAGATGACCTGGATTGAACAATAGATTTTCCTTCTCGAGTTTTCCAAATTATGTTTGACAACTGAAGTAAAACACATAGCATTATCTGCATGTGGATCTAATGTCTATCAAAGAAGAATCTAATAAAATTATAAGTGGGAAAGGTTCAAGGTCTTAAAGGAAAATAATGTTTCTACATGTATTTCAAACTGACAGAATATGGACACCAGTAGATCTTTGTGTAATGAAATAGCTCTGTATCTTGTTTGTGGTGGTGGCTACAAGAATCTGTAAGCCACGCTGAGATGGCACAGAATGGCATGTGTACATCATAGCAAGGTCACATCACTAGTTGTGATTCTGTACTGTAGCTCCATTGGGGTAAGCACTGGGGAACACTTGTGAAGGGCACTTAGGGCCTCTCTATATATTGTCACCAGCTCAGCAGGTCTTTTAGCTCAAACACAGCTAACAAAGAAAGGGTTAGGAAGAATCCCTTACTACTCTGATGAGTATAGCAAGGTGGTGATCCCACCGTGGCAAAGAAATCAAGAGGTAAACAGCATATATACATTTTTGGACTAGAAACTAACATACTCCTAAGCTCTTCTCTTATTGGGCCTGCACAAATTTGCATACAAAAAAATGTTCACAGGTGGTTCAAAATGTGCTTAAAATTGTGTTCGATCAATGAAAATGCATTTAAATGAGGGTCCTTCAGGGAAGGGGTTTTGGTCAGATCTGCACTTGGTTTGATGTTGGTTTGTCTGTCTGGAGCCATGGATGTCGTCAAGGAAGGTCCTTCTGCCATTTATTCCAAGCATGGAACATGCATCCTTTTTCTTTCCACAGTCTCCAGTTTAAA